CAGCAGCTCGCGCCACAAAGGGACTATGGAAGAAGACAATGGGCCAAAGAAAACAATCGCCTATCCTACTGATCTGTCGAAGTCCTTAGCACTCATAACGTGATGATATGCATGCTAAATTGTCTTGCAACAGTTTTTTCAGGACTGAAACGAAATAGACATTGCAAACAATACCGCGTGGTAGGGAAAATCACACTGCCTGACAACTGCAGATCTTGTCGACTCATCAGCAATTGGCTGGGAAAAGTCACGTTTGCTGATTGCGCCAAGGCATTTGAGGCATATTAAAATTATCTGAATTATCAAATATATGGAAGGGAGTACGATTATTCGCTACTGATCGGTGATATGTTTTCAAAAAACTTAAAAAGCCAACTAACTTTTCCGCCAGACGGCAATCGCCCACCGGAATGAGCATCAAGAACTTTCTGATATCGTAACTTGCAAGCAGCTTCAATTGTCTTAGCCATTGGGCCTGCAGACGGTTCCACGTGGAACACGTAGCACATAAAATTCTCCGATGATGTGTGCATTATAAACGCACAGTGTCTAAAAAAAAATTATTACTGAAATCGAAATCCACTGTACAACTAAATTGAATACCGCTTCCTATAAAAAGGTCGAAAAAGCTCAAGTTTGGCTATAGCAGTCAGACAATTTTCTTCATTCAAATGATTCAAAAAATCATACATACAGTTGGTATTTTAAAATTCATTCGGATATTAACTTACTTAATATCCCGTCCAATTCCCAAAAACGATAAGTAGCGAACTCTACATTGAGCAATTTCATTGCCGTTTACTTCAGTTATGGTTATTGTGGACGGCGCAATGGATACGTCTGCCAATATCCACCTGTCTGATCGAACCTGCAAGAAGAAGCAGGTCTGCATGGTGAATATGCTTCAGAATCATGAAAAAACAACGGCCTCATTAACGAAATTAAGCGAAATGCATAGACTCCTTAACAACGCAGAAATGTTTTGCACTTCTAGCCATATTTGTTTTTTCACCTTTGCATTTCCCAACTCGATCGATGAACTTGTGTACTCAACAGTTACAGCGGAACTTCATCGATTTGCTGTGCTTAGCATTCATTTCAATGAATCCTGTTTCGTCCTTTGATAAACTACATTTCCTTCAGTTTCTGCGCAGTTTTTTCTTCAGCTTCTATATTAACAAACCTGTGAAACGAGTCGATCGACGGCTTCATTGAGGACTTCAATGCCAGTAGCACGAGGTACTTGCGTTACACCCAGGAAATGACAACGAATTGTCTTCTTTGGTTCTTCAATTGGCGTCGGCAAGCC